TTAAGAACTGTTTTTCTATTGACTTCATGAAAAATTTTCAGTAGATGATGTTATGTCATTTAAATTCATGATTTTATTTTGCTTCACAAGGGGTTGTACAGTGTGTTCAACTTATCCTCAATGTGTTTTCTTTATTGGATACAGAAAGGATTTACCATTGTTAATTTAAGAACATGTATATTTTAATTGAACCAAAGGCAATATACTTGTACTGCATCCTGTATGTCACAAATGAGAGAATGTGTTCATAGTTACAACATGGTGGTCATTCATCATTAATGTGCTGAAAACTGCCTCTATCACGGTTTTTGATCTGAAACTATCATGCTTTTTTCTTGTACATACTTTGGTGCTATGTTATATTTAGAAAATATTACGCATTTAACGTTGGAATTTATAGAGATATTTGTATTTTGCTTTTCACTGTGTATCTATTTTTAGATGGGGTCATGTGACCGCATCTATTTTAAGTCTTTCTAGGGGCGTCCTAGTGGAGTGTTTGTGTCAGATGTTTGCTTTAATGTTAGATAATGCATGCTGTAAGTGCCATTTATTGACCGAGGCTGAAGGCCGAGGTCTTAAGCCAGTGCTAGGTAGATGTTTGTGACGTAATCATTGTTATCAACCATTTAGATCTAGTTGTCTCCTTATCAATTAGATATGAATAAATATTAAGAAAATGTTATTCAGTGTCGGTTTTATTTTTTAATAAGGGTATGCACCAGATGTATATCCTAAAGTTAACACTGTCTTTGTTTATCTGTCGGTATGTCGTTTATGCGACACATGATCTTTATATAGTGTTTTTCAAGAACAATTTGGACAGCACGTCGGTCAAAAGCTCTACAGAGCTTATGTTATTTGTTTGAAAATCCGATTTTAAATAAAATTTTCTGATTCACACGCATTGTATTGATGTGTGACCTGAAATTTCTCATATAATTTAGAGTCAAAGTACGCAGGTTGTCCCAGAAATATGCGAAATTTTTTAAGATATTTCATTAACTACTGAAAAAAAAATTCATTTTTTGCACATTGTTAGGAAATGAAATTTTTGTCATTTCGACAAAATATTATAAGGTTGTAATGTCATGTGTACGTGGAAATGGCATTTAAAGGGTGTTAAATATCAGTGGTCGGTGCACCGCAAATTTTTGACTTTTAAAACTAGCATTTTATGTGATGTTTTCTTTTATGACCAGGTTATACGGAAATACAATGTGACAAAATTTACATCCATTAAAAATCTACGATCTGGACAAAATTTTGTTTACTTAGTGGATAAAGCCCAAAGAGCCATAAATTGAAGAAAAAGATGATTCTTTGATTTTTTTGTCTTCACAATATCCAATACATTAGGCCTGCAATGAGAAACTTGGATTGCTATGCAGGCCTTACTAAGGGGGGGGGGGGGGGGTTGTGTTATAACTTCGAGGGTTGCCCTGGGAAAAAAATGGAACAATATTTTTTGTTTCAATAATTTTATAAAAGTTAAAAATTGGCATGCATTTTAATGAATTTTTATCTTAAAAAAATTCAATAAAATATCTCTATAAATAAATTTTTCTCTCAATTAAACGAATACATATCTGATCTTTCGGCCTATTTCTTCATAATCTGTGTCATGAAAATAAGTACATGTAATATCTACATACTATAGTGCATGTGAATTTATATCTAATCCGGATTTCTACTGATTTATTTTAAATTTTGATATTTTAACGTATACGGTGTATATATACATGTAATTTGCATGCAACGTGAAGTTGTGGTACAACAGTAGAATAAGTTTTAAACTCTTTTTCATCAATTTACTCTATTAAATTATATTTTTTTATCCTCTTTTTATTACACCACCTTCTCGGGTGCTCTTTATACATAGGCGGGACTAAACTGAACATGCACCTCTTATTTTTAACATTTTAAATACAGTCTGAACAAAAACTTACAAAAAAGAAGCAGGGATAATATAGGGCATTCAAGAAAGAAATCACTTACATATAATTATTTATACCTTGTTGCTTATATTGACGTCTATAAAACTCTCCATATTCGTTTTCACTTATCGTGATTCAAGGGTTTCTATTTGTTTACACTTTTTTTTTCTTGAAACTGAGTTGAAATAAATAATTTAATAATTTAAATAATATTTTAAAACATTTTCGTATTTTTCTTTAACTGAACTTGAAAATGATTACATGACAAGTGCAGATGTATCATGTACTGATACTGTAATTATTTTCAACATCAGATTGAAAATTGTGTATATAAGCTCATACCTTGAACAAGTGTGTACAAGTCTTTTTTTTTTTTTAAATTTAACTTTTTGTTTTGTTATCGTTCTTTTGTTTTGTTTTGGTTAGTTTATTTTTTTTTTTATTTTTTATTATTATTATTATTATTTTTTGTTTTTATTTTAGAGGGGTGTATAGGTTGTAGCACTTGGTAATTCATTCATGAAAAGTTTAGCAAATTCTCCAATGTACTAACGAGCACCTGTACTTTCTCCGGAATTGACCCGTCAATATTCTGGTCTTTATAATGTATTGTTTGTGCATGGATACAATGTAAACAACCCGAGACATTGAACGCGTAAATATCGTGGCAAAGGTCCAAGATACAGAAAGGTAAGGCGCGATTACTTTTCTTTATTAACAAAAGAATTTATAATCATTGGAAATCAAAGCATGCAGTCCATTCAAGGGGGCGTGATTTCAATTAATAATGCCTAATATTAAATTTTATACAGAGCCCTTTGGTTTTTTTGACAATCGATATATTGAAAAGTTGAAAAGTCTGTTTAAATCAATTTTAAATTTACCTGTGTACCTAGCGTTATGTAGGAATATAACAAAGGGGGGTTTACAGCGACATTGATATTGAATTAATAAGTTTAAACAAGATTAAATGTGTAAAAAAAAATTACATTAAAATATATTTGCCATTGAATAGGGGAGCACTTATGAAGCTTTGAATTAAATGTTTAACATACCAGGTAATTCCACACAGCAATTATTTTTTTCCCTTCCTCTCTTTTAGTATTATAACTTGTTTTTTTTTTTTTTTTTTTTTTTTTTTGGGGGGGGGAGGGGGGGAGGGGCTTTTTCACTTCATGATTACAAAAATTATGAAACTTGAGGAGAATTTACCTTGGTATGTGTAACAAATAGAGGGGTCTAAATCGACTTAAAATAAAACAAACTTCCAGCTCATTTTTTTCACAAGCTTAATAGAAATAATTCAATAAAAATTAAATAAAATTAAAATTAAAAATAGGAAAAATATGCATTTCGCAGAGAGAGAGAGAGAGAGAGAGAGAGTCTTTTCTCCTGACCAATCCATTTTCCCCATATATTTATAGCTCTTCATTAGTTGTTTTTTTTTGGGGGGGGGGTGTTTTTTTTTTTGTTTCGCTAAGATATAAATTATACTATGATAAAATAAAGCTGAAAAGTGGAGAGCGGGGTGGGTGTGCGGACCCCCTGCCCCCTCTGGATCCGCCAAAGGCGTGGGTGAGTGGTTCGGGATATACGTAGGCTCGGTAGATGACAATTTAGCGGAATATTAAGCTAGGCAGATAAGAACTTTTTTAAAAACATTGTAGCAACATGTTTTTAAATCAACAGGTCGCGTGCAGTAATTCACAAAACAGATAGGATATGTTTTCAATCCTTAACAAAACATCTTTGGCAGTACTCAATCAGTTAGCTGTCATTATATCTGATAATTATAATCTTCTGGTCTTGAAGTCCGACGCAAGGTTCACATATTAAATGACAGCCATTGATCTTAATGTCCTAGCATTCTGAAGCTCTTTATCTCAGAATATGCCTTAAATAAATAATTTAAATACCTATACATCAAACAATTTATTATCTACTATGCAAGGTAGACTCGGTGCATTTGTCGCCAAGATCCACATTTCTGGTATAATACTGATATGCAAGGACATTGCAGGAATTCAAATACGAAGACGGATCTACCTTCTGTCTAAAAAAAATCTTTTATAAGACAGTGGTGTGGGGGCATGGAGTGTGTCTCCATAGAATTAAGAAATTCATGATAACACTTAAGCTGTTTGACTCATATTTATTACAAGTGCAGCTGTAAGCAACTGTTAGTTTTCTGTGGTCATTTAATGAATTTTTTTAAAGCCCCCCCCCCCCCCCCCCCTCGACATCATTGGAAATCTTGAATTTGTCCCTGAAAGATCAAGAACTTTTCCAATGAAAATGTAGCTTATATTAATTTATAAGAATAAGGTCACATGCACTTGCGATATTAAGAATGGATTCCTTTAAAAATTATGCAGTGAGAAGTAGCGTACGTGTTTATGATGTAGATTCAATCTACAAGGGACTAGTATGTTTAATATTTTCAAATATGTTTGCTACTTTTTTTTTTTTTTTACATATAGTCAGCTATACACTATCGGGATTCAACTTAGAAGTATACACTGTATACTCGTATATCTTGAATTACAAAATAGGATTTATTAAAAAAAATCATCCGATCTGTACATATGACCACTGTGTGACCTTTATAATTTGTTGCTGTATGTTTGTGATAAATTTTGTTATCCTAGCATATGAATCAAATGTGTATATACGTATATAGTTCTTTCTGATACTCGAATTTTAAATGTGTTTACAAAAGGGTTATTGTAGATGCACGTGTTCGTAAACGTTGCTGTAATTCTTAAAGCGCGTACTTTTATATTGCAGTATGTTTTATGCCTTTGGACCGGGGCACAATAATGTCATCTAGGTTCAGATCTGCCCAGAAGGTCAAATCTCAAAGCCTCACTACTAAGACAGAATTCGACCTGCCAACAAAAAGTATATCAAACACAAATCAACAGAAGAGATTACGTCCCAAAACCGTTCCCACCAGACCGCAGAAAGAGAGTGTGAAACCGATTTCTCTGTCAGTGACGGCAAAAATTAAAAGTGGTAGCGCGGGACAAGGTTCTTCCGAAAAGAAGGACAGTCAAAGCGAAAATGGTGCCACAAATCGTAAAAATTTAAACAAGTCTTTGACGCAGGAAACAGTTAATGGCAGCAAGAACAGCGAGGGAGAGAAATCAGAGGCCGGTGTGAACACCGGAACGTTAAGTCAACCGGAACCCAATGTTGGCAGGACAACCAGCAAAGAAGACAAACCAAAGGCTGGTGAGAATACGGGAACGTTAAATCAACCGGAATCCAATGTTGGCAGGACAAACGACAAAGAAGAGAAAACAGAGGCTGGTGTGAATACCGGAACCTTAAGTCAACCTGAACCCAATGTTGGCAGGACAAATGGCAGGAAAACAGAGCAAGGTGTGAATACCGGAACGTTAAGTCAACCGAAACCAAATGTTGGCACCCGGAATTCCTCAAGTTCTCATGAGATCTCCGAGAATGATCCAATAAGAGAAACAGAAAACGGAAAAGACAATTATGTGGAACATGTCAACACAGAGTCTCTTGAAAATGATTCATATTCTATCGGTCATACACTAGTCACAATTAACGAAAACGGAAATCAAAATGGTGAAGATATTTCATCAGAACAACTCGATACAAGTGTATTCGATGGGGTTGGTCGATTTTTCATGTGTTCTGTAGACTCTGACGTCACAACTCCGTGGATAGGTGGATTGGCCTACGTCGAAAGTGGTGATATCATTTGTTTAGATCTAAACAATGAGTGTATCAAACGATTCGACAAAAATTTCAAGATGGTGTCAAGCATTGAGGTCCCGTTTGACTGTTATGGAATGACTGTTACATCACATGATGAGATTGCAGTCACGTGCCTTAATGAAATTCATTTTTACAACGTTGGAAAATTTGGAATGAATAGAACTGCAAAATATTTTACTGTGAATGGAATGGCGCACGGCATTGCATCTGATCAAAGCTGGTTTGCCGTGACATGTGATATTTCAGAACCAGAAGATAGCACGATTCGAATTATCGATGAAAACGGAAGTGAACAATTCGTAATCTATCCACCTGTTGTGTCAGAACTTCCATTAAAACTGTCATCTTTCATTGAGCTTGACAAATCATTAGGTCGGGTTTTTATCTCAGAATCAGCACCGAGCAGGGTCGTCTGTGTTAACTTTCAAGGAGAGGCATTGTGGGATACTTCCATTCCCGGCGGGTCACGTGGCATAGTCTCCATTGGCACCAATATCTTAGTGTGCGACCAGTTCAGTGAAAAAATTCGTTTACTGACAAAAGACGGCGCGTTGAAGGCACCAATGTTATCGTCTGAAGACGGACTCTGTAACCCTGACATCATCGCGCGCAGACCTGATTCTTATGACGTCATAGTATCCTATGGTGGATTTGGAACCATTGGATTGTTTTCTATACAATAACTTGTTTTGTTAAGGTTGATGGGGTTTGCATGCAAATAATTTGTAGGTTTTAGATAAGTAGTGATTACAGAGTAATATTTATTTAAAATATGTATTTACGTAGGAAATTATAGGTGTATGAGGGAAATGTTTCGAAATTGTTTTGTGGGAATGTGTAATACAAGAACATCTTCTTTTTTCCTTTGTTTTACAATGGATAAGATTTTATTTTAACTTATTAGAGAAAATCGAACATACTCCGTGTGATCCGGTTGTGAAGGACTGCTTTAACTCAAACAAAAAGATCATGTGACTGGGGTGAAAAGGTGGGGATGAATCCCGAGGTGTGCCGATACCAGTCTTCATTCAGTGGAATGCAACTAAACTGTATCTGGGAAATTAAGGAAAAATACTCTTTACTCATCAATTAACACGTTTTATTGATGATGCATTTCACATAATTACCAGAGATTGTTACTATTGTGGATCATTAATGCAAGAAAAATCTTTATTAATGTACCATTACTAACCAATTGTGTTCAGTTCTCCAAGTACTGCAATAAAAATCCATGCCTTACAAAGTAGTTTATCTGTTTTGGTTTAATTCATGAATACAGTCGTATGATATCGTTATGTACCACTAGGCCCATATTATTCACAACAAAATAATATTCTAGCTGTCCTATAACTGCCATTACCAGATACTCTCACCTAAAACAATTTTCTAATTAAAATATTGTTTTGGTTTTAACGTTGCAGAATCATCTTGAGATCTTCGTGTAAGGTATTATAGTTTTTACAATGCCTGCACTACAGGTGTACTGTCCCAGAAACTGTTTTTCATTCTTGATTCTGTAACCTCTCGGAAAAATTAATGTGAAACACATGTACTAGCATATGATCATAAATTTCTCTCCATTACAGACGCAATGGTCAGGCAGTGAACATACAAACAGGTTAACATGGCAATTAAGCTCTGGGTTCATTCAAACTTTCTTTGCAGAATGATCATGAAAAACAAGACATCTTTGGACTTAATTACTTTTAATACGCGTTTTTTTTAATACACTAAACATACTCAAATTAAGTGAAAGTAGATGACCAACAAAGTGAAAGAAGATGACCATGTTAAGGTAGACAAGAAGGCATCATAAGTGTGACCAAAAGAGGAATTCATGTACAAAAGTATTACAATGCAATTTGTAAAAAAAAAATGTTATATATAATAACATTATCTTTTACAATATGTTTAACCAGTAAGGAAAATTAATTGACACAAGCATTACAATACAATATGTGATAAAAATGTAATACCTGTTCTGACTTTTAAATGATGAGTTATACATTTTTTGCAGTCGTCAATTATAACTAGTGCTAATTGTAACGGGAACCGTTACAGATGTTCCCCAAACGGCTCCCCAATCCCTTATGATGCCCCATTCCCTACAAGCTTCAATAAATTAGACAATACTTTTGTAATATAGATGGACACTTTATTTTTAAGGGTATTTCATTGGAAAACAACTCCGATATAGCCATATGGGTATTAGCCTATCAAATTTCAGCGCGTGTGCTTGCACATGTTTTCTTCATTTTTCACATTAATTATCTTATAGTGTTTCACAATACATACATTTGTTTTAAATATTAAAGAATTTCATTGAAAAATAAGAGAGATGTACCCTTTAAGTATTAGCCAATCAAAATTCAGCATACGCGCATGCATGGCCTTGCATTCAATTTTGATAGTATCATAATGTAGGAGCTCTATGTGCCTATCCATGTCATAAATTTAATCCTGTTTTGTTGAAAACCAAGGGAGTTATAGACATTTAAAGTTTCAACCAATCAGATTGCAGCACTCCTGCATGCGCGTGTTTTCAAGAAATTTCCTATATAACATGTTGTAGCACCTTATAATATATACTTATATTCTAATTTTCAAAGTATTTTGTCAAAAAACAAGGAAATTATTGAGATTTTTGTATCAGCCAATCAGAGAAGAGCGCACGTACATGCGCGTGAGTTCACGCTAATTTGACCATGTTATCTTGTCTAGACTACTAATATATCTTTATATTTTGAGTTTCAAAGCAATTCATCAAGAAATATAAAAGTTACGGCTTCTTCAAGTATATCAGTCATTTCACTCATTGCACGCGCGCGCACGTGCATGCATGTGCGCGCAAAATGACCTTCGTTCCGAACACCTACACAACATGCCTATTAACCCTAAAAAGGTTTCATGTCAATCGGATGAGTGGTTCTATGAGAACACTCCCGGACAAAAAAGTACCGGAGAGGAAAGTAGAAAAAAAGAATAATAATAATAATAATAATAATAATAATAATAAGAAACAGAGTAAAAACAATATGTTCCCAAACTTCGTTTGGGGAACATAATTAAGGGCTCTGATTTTTAAATGCTTTTTACATACCTGGTCAATATATGAAGGGAAACAAAATCTTGAATCTGTACATAGCAAATCTTATTAAAATATGATCACTCACAGATAACATGAATAAAAATACAATGTGTCTACAAAATATGCAAAGTCAGAGGAAATGCTGACTTCGAAATAAAAAAAAAATGTTACATTGATATCGAATTTGTAACACTGTGTCACTGCAACAGCTGTAATAATATTTTATGAGATTAAGACAGATCTTACTAAGACCCAATAACATGGAGTATATGATGAATGATGGAGTCATAGCATAAGATAATGAAAGTATACAACAAACGTGAAATATAACTCAGTCCTCTTACGATTACAATTACAAACAAACTTTACTTTTGCATTAGGTATTTCTTTAAGTTATCAAATTTACATTCCTGAATTAAAAAAAAATACATATACCTACAGAATTGTTCCCTTTAACACAAAAGTATGATTACATTGAAAATCTTATTTACAACTTCATGTTTCAGATCATATATTAAATCTCTTGTGATACCTTAATTTATATATAATCAATCAGACTGCAATTTTTATTTCAAATCAATTACCTTTCAATTTTAATACCCTCCTCCCATCTTTCTTAATTTAATGAAAATCATGCGACACACATATGTGCATGGATCTACAGAGTAACAAAACAGTATCGAGATAACATGACTAGTCAATCCTTCACAATTTTAATCCTGCCTACATCCCTTTGATCTTTGACCTTAAGTAAAGGTCATGTCACACTTTTAATTCATCACCAACAACGTACCTAAATACAAATTTAAGTCCTCATAAACAACATACTCGAGTTTGAATTAATTCTAATCCTGGGTTCAAAAGTTATACTGTGTATTTTGCATTTACTATTTCAAAATCTCATTGTTAGGTGACCTTTTCAGTATGACCTCGAGTTAAGACAAATTATCTGAGTAAAAAGAACTACCTGGGTGTGAACAAATTACTAGTACTTGGGTCAAAAGACAGGTTTTCCGTCATAAGAGTGTTTTACTTTACCTGAGTAAGAAGACAGGTTTGCGGTTAAGATGTTCCTTCAGGTCTTCTGGCACTGTGTCGTCCTTGGAGACGTACTTTTCTACATAATCAGACCAACGCTTTACTTCTATTGGATCATCAGACTGCTCAGTGTCCAGGAGTTCAAAGGTCAACTTACATTCTTTCTTGAACTGTTGAAAATATCAAATTTTCATTTTAATCAAATTGCTTATGGTTACAAAATAGCAGCTTGTTAACTAACTCTTCAAATGGCACAAAAATATCACATAATTCACATTCTTAATGTTTCACAAGTCATTCTCTCCCATAGTAATCCATGATGAAACAAGTAAGAATCTCAGACATACATCTAACCAAACCTCATGTTCATCCAAGGCATTTGCAAAAATTCAAAACGAACATAGCTCAAACCGTACTGCAAACATTATAACTTTTTAGCTCAAACCGTACTGCAAACATACTTTTCCCCAGGCAGTCGTATTTCTGCAGAACCACAATTTATATTCAAGGTAGAAAATTACACGGATTTCTGGGATTGTCATAATTGCACGTCTTAAATTTAACTTAAGTATGCAGTGAGTACTTTCTGTGGAAAATCTTTGACCGTGTACATAGCGTAAATTAAACCCGAGCGGAAAAAAGTACGAGGGTTGTTAGAAAAGTTCGCGGACAAGTTTTATTGTAAGCGTGCTATTTACATGAAATCAGTGAAACTCTGCAGATAAAAACTATACGTATTTTCCAATTAATATGCAAAGATTTGGTGTGTTCCGATGATCATTAAAAAATATACAGCTAAATTATTTAGACAAAACATGCTTCACAGAGCATGTTACTTTTCCGCACCTTTACATTACAGAGATATATTTTTGAAATTAAAAAAAAACACTGTTTTAGCGATAAATATTTATGATATTTCCCTTGTCGCTAAAATATTCACAAACCTCATTTGGCTAAATTTTTTATTAAATTGGAGGCATTATGATTGTGTTATCGCTACTTATAGATGATAAATGCATGCATAAAAACAAAGCCAAAAAATAACCTCTTTGAACGCTATTAAGAAATTATGTGTGCAGACAGGAAAATACCCGAAAGAGACTAAAATGATTTTAGATGCTGGTGGGAATGGTCTACACATCTAGTGCCAAAGTGTTGAAGCGGTAGCAACTTTATAAGGATGAAAGGATTGACATTTTTGATTAACAACTCCTGCGGTACCCCAATTTCCTGTTTATCGCATGGACGTTGAATGGGTTTAGCATCGTTTCTCATACCTGATCGCTGAACTGCGTAGACATTGTTTTTAATATCTCACTAATATCCTACAAAAGACATTTAAAAAACAATTGACATGTCTTGATATAGTTATTCAATTTTTAAGTAAGAAAAAGACATGAAAAGTCTATAGAAACGAAAAAATTTAGAACTGTGGAAAAGCTTAACAAGTTTTGAATAAGGTTGTCACGTCACCTAACAAGTGATCGCACAGTAAAAATTGTAGTATATTTTCAAAATTTTAGTAAATAGACCTGACTTTTTACATACTAATGAACAGAATATAAGAATTTAATTAGACATGCGTCATTCTTCAAAGTACACAATATATTTTCCGTAAATCAATGTGTCCGCGAACTTTTCTAACAACCCTCATATGCATACGTCTACAGTATTTAAAATGTTTCCCACCTCTTTTTTTACTTACAAGAACAAGCTGGTTTCCACGCTGAGACCCTGTTACCCCCCCCCCCTTTCCCCTTTCAATGACCACTTTGAAGCAGTTTTCCTCGCTGAGACACTGTTCGACCTTCTTCTGGTAAGCGCTCTCCTTGACCACTCGTTCCCTTGTTGCATTATTCTTAGTACGTTCCTCCTGCAACAGTGCAGTGATATTCAAGCAAACCTCATCCTGGACAATGTGCTGCATCTACAAATACAGACAGTTATACTTTTATTTAACACTTCTAATGTATGTTAGTGAAGCAAGTATATTTATTCACAATTTATTTTGACAACCAGCAAGATAATTTATGATTTGATTTGATTATATTATATTATTCAGGTCTTTGACAAGTCGAGCTAAAAACAGCAACTTTTATCTAATTTAGCAATTTTTTTTAATCAGATTTCAGAACATGCTGAATATGATATATTATAATTTAAGATAAAAAGATATATATATATATATTTCACTTGAGTTACCTTTCTTTTGAACACATTTCAAAAATCAATTTATTATTTTTTTTTTATAATTGATCAATACATCTATAATATAATCTATTTTGAAAATTCTGTGTACCTTTAAATTTATGTCATTTTTTTTATACCAAAGAAGCGAATTGAAAAAAAAATATTTAAAAGGTCTATATATTGACAGGTATTTAAATCACATGACCTAGCAACAGGACATCACCAGGAAATAGATTGTCAGGCAGTACTTTGAGAGCCATTTTGATTTTACAGGTAAGACATTATATCAAGTTTAAAATGACCCTTCTTTGTGCAACTTATCTTCTACCTGAAATTAAAAAAAACCATTTTTTTAAAAGTGGAAATCCTTAAATTAAATAAATAAGGAGCAATATAATTATGCATAAGTTTACTGTACGTGCACATGACAGACAGTGAAAGTCTAAGCATCTGGTTTTGAGACCACATTTTTATCAATTAACCCATTTCTCATTTCTTTGAAATCCTGGCTAACGATTGGTTGAAGTCTGTCACGAGAAAGATGTTCAATACTTATGCATGTATGGTCACTAGAAAATCAATACACGTTCAATACAAATTGTTATGTTTCCTTTTGTAACACTTAAAACAACTCCAGTCTTCTGAATTGTCAATAGAAAAAAAAGGTTTTATGAGTGTCGTGACAATTTAGAAGTTAATCAACGTTATTAATAGACACAAATTATGAAACCTTTTTTCCCCATACTACATTTCTTCAAAGCTGAAAGTTATTAATGCACTAAACACACACACACACACACACACACACACACACACACACACACACTTACGTAGCACATGACGTCACAATATGCACTGAAAGGGAGTAATGAAACTTATAGTGGGGAGTCATAAACACCTGAATATATAACATATATATATGTCGTTGGTGGGAAAAATTATCACATAATTTTGTAGTGACCGGGTACGAGTTGATACCTGGTTAGTAAGTCTCATACCTGGAAAGCATATAATACTTCACCCTTATGTGGTAAAATTTAGTTGAAATCACAGATACAGTATAATCATCTTGTAAATTTACTAATTTGAAACTCTGGTCTTATGAAACATATTCTTTGTGAGCATTATAATTTTTATGATGACGAAAACAATTTTGGTCTGTAAACACAAACCTAGGAGATAATTTTCTTTTCATTGTTAACTACTCCCTTTGAATGATTTTCATCCTTGATAAGTATTTTTACATGTCAATTTTCTTACTCCAAAATGTTTCAATTTTACCTATTGATATTGTCATTTTAGTTTGAGCATAACAAATAAAATTCTCAACAAAGAACTTAAACATTACATTTTTATTTTATTTTTACAGTATAATCTTGACTTGGTCATGTGAGAAGACTATAATGGACCCCCGTTACAGTGCCCAAGACATCCTCCTCTGTGACCTGTTTCAAACAGCTGCATTACAGAGTCATTGTGAACTTTGTCAGATTAACCTATGTAAGGCCTGTGTAGGGGAGCATCTCTCTGATTCATCTACAAGACACAATGTTGTACCATACAAACACAGAACATCTACTTCTAACTACCCAGAATGTCCAAACCACACAGAGAAACACTGTGAACTTCACTGTGAGGGATGTGACATTCCTGTCTGTTCTACCTGCATCTCCTCTGATAAACACCATGGACATAAATTTACAGATATTCTGAAAAAACTCACTTCTAAAAAAAGGGATTTAAAAAAAGACTTGGAAGAACTAGAGAAACTAATCTATCCTGCATACGAAGAAATTACATTAGATTTAAACTCTGAGAAAGTAAACTCTGAAAAACATTATGAGAAATTGAAAACAGCTGTCACCAAACAAGGAGAAGACTGGCACAGAGAAATTAACATCATTGTCAACAAACAGAAATATCTGAAATTGATGAGATGAAAACTAAACACTTGACTGCTCTAAATAAACAGGAAAAAGAAATAAAACAGATTACTTCTGATGTAAAACAGAGTATTCTTGATCTGAAGAAAATACTGGACTCGAAAGATGTCTCCCTAACCTCTGTGTACAAATCCAGGAATGTTGAATTCAGAAGTTTACCTCCTAAAGTCAATGTTTCATTACCAAGCTTCTCTGCTCATCAGATCAACACAGAACAGCTTCATCAAATGATTGGTTCTCTGTCAACAATAACCATTACAATAGAAGAACATTCCTACACAATAAAGACACCAGAAGCTGTATCCTGTCCTCCAGTCAAACCACTGCTTGATGAACCAGAGCTCATCACCACCATAGACACGTGGTATAATCTATGCAGTGTTACCTGTCTCAGTGATGAAGAAATCTGGACATGTGGAGGTGGCAAAATCATGAAACTCTACAACCTCCAGAGCAAACTACTGAAGTCAATCCAAACCAAGTCAAGGAGTGAACCATCTGACATGGCATTGACAAGGAGTGGAGATCTAGTTTATTCTGATGAAGGTACAGGAACTGTTAACATAGTGAAGAATAACCAGATACAAGAAGTGATCATACTACAGGAGTGGAAACCTATCAATATCTGTAGTACTCTCTCTTGTGACTTCCTTGTTACCATGGACAGTGGTGATTATAAACAATCAAAGGTTGTCCGTTACTCTGGCTCCACAGAAAAACAAACCATTCAGTTTGATAATGAAGGTAAACCTCTGTATTCATCTGGTTCTTTTAAATACATCAGTGAGAACAGGAACCTGGATATCTGTGTGGCTGACAATGAAGCAAATGAAGTAGTGGTGGTTAATCAGGCAGGAAAGCTCAGATTTAGATACACTGGTCGTCCCTCTACTACCAAGGGATCATTTTATCCTTACGGCATCGCAACAGACAGCCAGGGTCAGATCCTGACAGCAGACCGTGACAACCACTGTATCCACATCCTAGATCGGGATGGACAGTTCCTCCGTTATATTGATAACTGTGATCTACACCGTCCATGGGGTTTATGTGTGGACACCAGAGACATCCTCTTTGTGGCTGAGTATGACAGTGGTAAAGTGAAGAAAATCAAATACATGTAAACACGTCATTGTCATTGAAAGTTTCTGTGACTGAGATACAAGATAAAAAAAAACCAACATGACACTATGAGAACATGTAAAAATTTATGCAAACAACAATGTATAATTCCAATCTTAATTTTTTTTATTGATTTCCTGTGTTTTGATTGGACGAGAATAAATTCAAGAAAAAGTTTACACATCGATAAATTCTCAATCAGAACTACTTTCTTGACCTAGCTTTTATTGTAAAAAAAAAAAAAAAAAAAAAAAAAAATGAAACAAATCGTTAACGTTACTTCTATTCTGTGTTTTAGCTAAACAGAAACTTGAAATTAAATAAAAACAAAACTGACGACATACAGGACTCACAGACGGGAATATTATGTCTAACGTTATGTCACTATCAGATCACGAGTGTGAATTTTAAATCTCTGAAGTCATATAGATAGTTTTCATATGAATAATTTTTTTCCGAGTTATTTCCCTTGGCCGCCATCTTGGTGGTCAACCTGATAATTTTTCCTCTTTGTCTTACCAAATCTAAGAGGGTGTAGCAGAAATATTTGGGGAAAAATCTTTATAGAGTAAAAATTATGAAATAAAGTAGGCTTTAACAAATGTATATTTTTCAGAAAAACAATGCTTCTTACCCTACAATGGCGAGTATGAAAAGTTAAAGTTGGTTGAATAATGAAGGAATATGATCATGTTGACCTCCAATATGGCGGCCAACGGGAAATAACTCTTGCTAATTTGGGCCTACTGAAAACTATCTATTCTCGACGTTCCTAACAGGCCTACAAAAACAAATCAGCTCAGTTCTCGGTAGCACTGTGATAGAAAGAGAAACGTACCTTAGACTCTTGCCTTAGCATCAAATTCATTTTTCTACATCCTATATTCTGTCCCGTCTTTGAACAAACCAGAGCAAATCAAGGTTGTCGTCGGTCTGCTACTTTCGTTTTAGAGCGTCTGTCGTTATGTCAACATGGTCAACGACGAATTCTTTTGAAGTCTACTTGTATTTACGATATTTGTTGAATAGCTTTAAACTACATCAATACTAACTAGTGCATGCATTATTGTCGTTGGTTAAATCCCACACAGCAATATATTTTCAATTTCAATTCAATTTATTGATTCACCAAGCATGTTGGCATACAACCATGTTACAAACAAAATGAAAAATACAGTGTGTTTTCAGATTACTAAAACATATACTAAAGTACATACATACGTGTACAAATCAGTGAAGTCAACTACTTTTACAACTTGAAGTTATACATAATCATTATGCAAATAGTATAAACAGTATAATATGGACAGAGATAAACTAATTAATGCATTAAATATATATTATTGTGCTCTATTTTTAGAACGCAATTCAAAACATTCATGTAAAAATTCGCATAGCCTTCTAGAATGAACTGCATTGTCAGGATTACAAAATACTTTACAATGATTTTCCTTCAACAGGTTATCATTTAAATTATAGATGTTCAAAGGGTAATACTTTTTTCGCAAATCTTTATATATAGGACAGTCATATATGAAATGTATTTCATTTTCTACAACATTTTTACAATAGTGACAAAAACGAGATTCTTTTGGGATACAAGGCTTTGAATATCTGCCAATTTCAATTTCTAAAGGGTGTGCAGAAATTCTCAGTTTTGTTAATTTAGAAC